CGCTTATGGTTCGTGCGATTTCCCGTGTCGCGCGCGGAGCACCACGCCGCTCGCGCTGGCGACGTGTTGCTTGTGTGCGAGCGTGCGCGCGTAGACGGACTATCCCCTCTCCAACCCCCACTATCGCTGCAGCATACGGGTAAACGTTCCCGGCTGGAATCACTGCCCGAGACCCGACACATTCGTTTGCAGCGCGAGCGCTACTCCGCGCGACACGGAAAATCGCATAAACATCCAGGCTTTGCTTATGTATGCCGCGCCGTCCTATGTTGCCGCATTTATGCATCTTCCATACACAATACGCACAGTATAATAATACATTGTCGATACTTCAATAATATTTCATTAGGAAATGTTGTTAATGTGTATTCATTTTTGAATATTTATATTGATTTTCATTATTCGTTTAAATTTCATTATATACCTATTCACTATATATATATGAATAGTTTATTCGAGAAAATGACAGAATTTACAAAAAGGGAGATTTTCGAACAGTATTCAAAAGAGAAGAATATAAATTCTGTTGTTCATTATATTCTTCTTAAAATGAATATTCAAATTTCAGATATACATTCCGATTCTATAATATCCTTGAAAAATGCAATCACATCTTTAACAGCTAAATGTTCTGCTAAATTTCAAGCTGCCCAGCGAATAAAAAACCGATTTGAATTGAAAAATTGCGAGTGGCTGAACTCAAACTTTAACGTTCCTACATTGCAATTAATTAATGATTGTTACAATGAAAAAGCTTGTTATAATTCTACAATTGGTTTTGGTCGTCCAATTAAAGAATTTGAAGACAAATCTGATCGATCGAAGCGTCGAGAAGCTGCAACAATTAGTGCACAACATAATCACGATCCATGGAGAATTCTTGCAGCATGTCGGTATGCAGCGAGACGTTCGGGAGAAAAAGATTTATCTTCTACTCTAAATGAACTTTCTAAAAATCCAGAAAGACCTAAAAAAATCCGAAAATTATTAAATACGACTACAACTGAAATTATAAAAAAGACTCCGTTAGAAGCCTTGGGATTCATACTGGATCACTCTGTATCTCGATATTTGTATACTGATATGCGATTGCAATCAAAATCATCTGGTGCAGATATTTGGCCACCTTACGATAAGATTAGAGAAGCCAAAGCACAATTACGACCGCCGAAGGAGACTATTTTCATTGATGAGTGCGTAGCCAAGGTTCCACTTCAGGCATTATTAAATCACACTGCCGAGCGGCTCGTGTTGTTACAAAAAGAAGTTGTTCTTCATGCTTTAAATATTTCGAATTTAACAGAAATAGCAATAGTACTGTCGTGTTCTTGGGGGTTTGATGGTAGTAGTGGATTCTCTTCTTATAAGCAACAGTACAAAGGTGAGCATAAAAATGAAAATGTAAGCGATGAGAACCTATTCGCTACTACATTGATCCCACTAAGATTATCAACAGAAAATGGATTAATAATATGGAACAACAACAGTTCGCAGTCTGAAAGATTCTGTCGTCCAATTGAGCTACGGTATATCAAAGAATCAAAGAATGTCATACTGCAGCAAAAGGAAATATTTGAAAATGAAATTAAACAACTGCAAACGTTGAAAATTGTATTGGATGATCGTTCTATATTTGTTCATTTTGCATTACACCTTACCTTAATAGACGGTAAAGTATTAGCCATAATTACGAATACGTCAATGCAAAGTTGTCCTATTTGCCATGCTACGCCGAAGAATTTTAATGACTTATCACATACACCAACCAAAACTTTATTTGAGCCTGATCCTAAATCTTTTCAATTTGGAATCAGTCCCTTACACGCATGGATCAGATTCTTAGAATGCTGTTTACATATTGCTTATAGATTGGACATACAAAAATGGCAAGTGAGACTCAATGATGATAAAATTAAATTTGCAGAACGAAAGGCCTATGTTCAAAAAATCATTTGGGGAAAACTAGGTTTAAAAGTCGATATGCCTAAACCAGGCGGTAGTGGTACCAGCAATGACGGTAACACGGCTCGTAGAGCATTTCAAGATCCTGCTCTGTTTGCTACTTGTCTTGGTCTAAAGCAAACATTGATTGAAAACTTTCGAATTATTTTAATTGCTCTTTCTTGTAAGTTTCCTCTCAATGCAAATCTATTTGAAGAATATTGTAGATCTACTGCTGAGATTTATGTTTCTGAGTACAAATGGTATCCTATGCCACCAACAGTACACAAAATCTTAATGCATTCTGGCCAGATTATTCGAAATAGTGCATTTCCTTTAGGGATGCTTGGAGAAGAAGCTTCCGAAGCTAGGAATAAAAATTATAAGAACTTTCGAGAGTTTCATTCCAGGAAGCATAGCCGTATAGCAAACCTCACTGATATGTTCAACAGAGCATTGGATTCGTCAGATCCTGTTTTATCAACGATGTGTCTTAATTCTCGAATTCGAAAAAGGAAACAATTATCTTTACCTCATGCAGTCAGAAATTTACTTCTAACTCTTAATGTACAAAGTACTACCTCCGAAGCACATGCTGAGGAAGTGGAAGCAGCAGAATTGGACTGGATTGGATTATCAGAGACTGATGAGCAGCAGTTAGATAAACTAGAGCTATCGGATGAAGAATGCGAATGCTAAGAGTACAAAAGATAGTACTGACTCTACATATAATACAAGCGTAATATATTTAAAAACGCAAAAATAAAAAGTACAATATAATAAAAATACATACAAAATAGAAATAAACAAATTAAAAAGTAAAAAAAATTTTGAATA